TATGCAAAATATCACACTCAATACATGTGTGTCTCTGGGGGGTGCATTGTGCCTTTGATGTATATAAATAATATACCATAACCAAATACTATTACGTACAGTGGAAATCAGGTTGCCAGAGCAGGTCAGTGTGCATGTTCCTCAACGTCTCAGCAGTTACAGGTGAGGTAAAGAAAATAAAAGAGAAAAAGGTCTAACAACACTTTAAAGTAACAACACTTTGAATAATTATCTCTTCTAACAATTTTCTCTCAATAAGCACACAACGACTGTCTTTCCAACAAACAGATTGACTCACCCTCACTGTCATCACAATGAAACACGTCCAGAAGAATGTCATGCAAAGCTCCATGCCTGCCTTCGACTCTCCCTGAACTGCTTCCTTAGCATTGATTGATTGATAGAAAAGTTTATTAACAGCTTGTATATTGGGTACAGTACAGTAGCCTACAGCTCAAAACATACAATTGTTAAGGGGATGCAGACCAGAGAAAGACTTTCGTCTTGTTTACATCAGGGTCCCCCATTTCCAATTCATCATATCATTTAAGACATATAAGACATATTTGACATACAGATGGCTTATTTACAATGTACATACAGGTGGTTTTTTACATACAGATTGCTTATTTACAATTTTCATTTTAGATTTCGTTCTAATACATCCTAACCGGACATTTAAGACATACCAAGTCTACAGATATACAGTTAGTAACAGTCTAAAATGCGAGTATATACATAGATGGGGGGGGGGGGGGGGGGAAGCTGTCCATTGTACGACAGGTTGAGATTTGTAAATCTGCACCCGGTGGAGGGCGCAGTAGGCTACTCTTCAAAAGTTTCACGAAATACTTACCATCATGTTTGGTTACTGTTTAACATTTTGGTTTACTTCATGTAATAAAAATAATAACTTCATGGTAAGGCTACTAAAAATGACAAGGCTAAGTAATGTAATGCTAACTAACGTGCTCGCTACTCGTCGCTACTAGCTAGGTAGCTAACTTGACTATGTTCCATGCACAACATGTATATTACCTATGATATTACCTGATATGTCTGATCCAGCGACTCCTGGTCCTTTCATCAGACGGGAAGCGATAGAACGAGCAAGTGGTATGATCACTTTTGTGATTACAACCTGGTACAAAGCACACAGGCATCTTGTAAAAGTGAACCAATCACTTGGAGCATTATCGCCTGTGACATCACTTACGCGACCCAGAATGGGATTTGTAGTCTTTGTAGTCGCGTATTTTTCATAGTCTTATATTTCAACAGTTTTACGACAAAATGTGACTTTTTTGACATGGAAATGATTGTTTAAGATTGACAAACATCATATGTGTAGTTCGTGGCACAATTCAAACGGGATCAAAAGATACGTTTTCTCTCTCCATTGAATTCAATGTATAATTTTTCGCTTCCGGGGTCCCATGGACCGGAAGTAGATGGGCGTGACTTCGCCTCTCTATAGCTCCAGTGAGCACAGTGTGCTCTGATTGGTCGGGACACGTAACATGAACGTGCCGGGCGGCGCGGTCCCGTGGGTTAGATGCGCGTTCATAATGCAGAGGGAAATAACTCTCAGAATAACGTTATTAGCACATTATTACAACTTGAGGAACGAATGTTTTTAATAAGGGCTATACAAGTGTTCATACTGGGTAGTTTATTTAGTTAAAAAAAAAGTATCCAACGATTTACAGACCACTCTTTCCCCATGTAAGTCAATGGGAAAAAGTGTTTCCGGGCCTGGCAACCAAACGGAAGTGTAGTACCGCCGTTTGGCCAGCACGAATATTTTCATCTGAGTCTGGCGCACTTCCTGGGGGCTTGTATGGAGTCAGATTTGGGTCAATATTCTAGCGCGCAAAACAAGCTACTCACGAGTGGAACATTTGCTTTTACACGCCCATGAAATGACCCCAGCGCGCAGATTAAACCCCCGCGAGCGGCTATGCTCTCGCTCGCGAGAGAGACAGCCCTCTTGCTTGCTCGCGGGAGTGTCAGCCTCACTTGCTCGCGGAGTCTGTCTACGCGCGCGTGAAAAGTTTCTGGCACTTTGGGGCGGAGCCACTAGACTTTGATTGACAGCTGCCAGGTAGCCCGGAGTTGCCAGGTTTGATAAATGCCTGAACTACCAAGAGCCGAGGAGTGACAGCTGCAAGATCAGTTGGACGAGACTGAATGGTAAAGTTGTCCATAAAAAAAACTATTATATTCGTAATTTATATTCGTAAAGTGAAAAATACAAACTTACTAAAGGACACTATACAACTCTTATAGTATACTATAGTAATACTATAATTCATTTATATTTCGTAAGGGAGGTGTACAGCAGACAGCAGGTTTTGACAGATACAGCCCACTCAAAAATATATTGTTTTATATCAAATGCATTAATATATATATATATATTAGCTGTACACTTTACGAATATAATAGTTTTTTATGGGCAACCATTCAATCTCAACTGATCTTGCAGCTGTCACTCCTCGGCTCTTGGTAGTTCAGGCATTTATCAAACCTGGCAACTCCGGGCTTCCTTGCAGCTGTCAATCAAAGTCCAGTGGCTCCGCCCCAAATTGCCAGAAACTTTACACGTGCGCAAAAACAAAAGTGTTGCGTTTATATTTTTGTTCAGTGTATATATATATATAAACTCCCCAAACAGGCGAAAACCTACCAGTTTCACCCACTGTCTCTGCCACCTCCCTCCATGACTGGTTCTTCCGGTTTGTATCCCGGTAGGTGAAGAGGGTCTGGTCATACAAAACCGGGTGATTTGCTACAGCGATAATTAGTTTCTCCTCCATCTTTTTTTGAAATATAGAAATGAACGGCGGGATATCTCTCCCAGCTTAGACGCGGTTTGATTGGCTAGGGCTTGAGCTGTCAGATTTTCAGAAACGGGATTTGATTGGCTGGCGCTGGCTACGCCGGAGACGGACCGCTATGCTACCCACAATTCAGTTCGGCGAAAAGCGAGGCAAGGTGACGTCACCCCATTCAAAGTGAATGGGCAGACGCGTTGGAAACCGTTTTTGAAGCTGTCGAAGCTGTAGTGTGGACGGCCCGTAACAGTAAATAGTCCGCCTCTTTGCCCTTATTTGGAGCAGGCCGGAGTTGAACTCTGACGTCACTGTCGAGCCGTTAGTGGCCGACTCCGCCTACTAAGGGCTTCTCGGCAACTCTGCAGAATCCTATGGGTGACGTCACGGACCCTACGTCCATTTATATACACAGTCTATGGTCTGTCCTCAAGTCTCTTGAGATGTGTGCCTATAATAAATAACACCGTGATGAATGGCTAAACTTAAACTGATGATATTATTCACCTTTCTGCTGCAGGAGACACAGTGGCGGTTCTAGACCAATTTGACTGGGGGGGCCACTGGGGGGCCAGTTATTTTCTGAGGGGGGCACAATAAATGCAGGACGAAAAAGAGAACTAGACAGTATGAAGTAATTGCGCATAAGAAAACAATGCAATACAGTTATTGGTATTTGTTTCAGTACACTTATTTATTTCAGATATATCTTATAGTTATTACTGTTAGCTTCAGCTTAAGTTATAGTAAAATGTTTGCACTAACACCATATCATATTTATATAAAAATAAAGGCAATGAACAGTTACATCTCTACTTTACATCTACAATTACACGGATACAATAGTTTAACTCACCTTCAATTATCGTGGTAGTCTCTCGAAACGTAGGTTTCAATCAGTCTTTCTTGGAACAGCCTCTGATGATCCGAGATGAAAAGTGTTTGTTTTTCCGCGTGCTTCAGCCGGACAGTGAAAGTGAGTGCACCGCTCTAATGGGTCCTGAGTGCACCGCTCTAATGGGTCCGACTAGAATGACGAATAACGTTAGTTCCGTCTATTCCGTCATTCAATAAATCGTGTAATAAATCATACATTTTTAATTTTTTCCACTTTTCATTTTTAGGGGGGCCACAGGGGGGTCAGAGGTCAGTGTTAGGGGGGCACTGCCCCCCCCTAGAACCGCCCCTGAGGAGACAAAAGGTATAAGTCTAAATCTGCTAACATATACATATATATGAGAGGTCAATCCGGAATAACAATAAAGAAGCAAAGAGATTGTAGAGCAGTGAGAAGGAAAAAAGCTTGGTGTGTCAATTCATTACCAGTATTTTTCGTTGTTGTAAAAAAGAATCGCTCTCGGATTTGTTAGCCCCCTCAGTCATTTCATCCTGGAGCCGGGCCTGTCCCTGTTGCTTGTGCACCTTTTACCACACTTTTTTCTTCCACTCAACTTATGAATATGCTTGGATACAGCACTCTGTGAACAGCCAGCTTCTTTAGCAATGACATTTTGAGGCTTACCCTCCTTGTGGAGGGGGTCAATGACTGTCTTCTGGACAACTGTCAGGTCAGCAGTCTTCCCCATGATTGTGTATCCTACTGAACATTGAGTGACCATTTGAAGGCTCAGGAAACCTTTGCAGGTGTTTTGAGTTCATTAGCTGAGTCTGCAATATTGCATTTTTTCAATATTCAAATTTTCTGTGAGCTACTTAGCTTTTTATTAGCTGCAAGATTAAAACAAACACTTGAAATAATTGAGTTTGTGAAATTAATCTATATAATATGAGTTTCACATTTTAAATAGAATTACTGAAATAAATCAACTTTTCCATAATATTCTAAATGTATTGAGATGAGTACCTGTATAAAGCATCAGGAATGACACTACAAAAAAAAGTTGTGTAGTGACTATATTACTATACAAATATTGTAATTCTATTATAGTCAATAATAATTGTCAATAATTACTTTAAACTATGAACGTTTTAGGTTAAGTTGTATTTTAAAGTAAGGTACTCCTTTAAAGGGTTAGTGGCTCAAAAAATAAATATAGAATATGAAATCGGTATTTTGAGCTTTGGGAAGGGAACACTTTAAGGAGAACAGATTATTAGGAATAACATACTTTGGTTCAAAAAACAAGACAATGACACATGATTTTCTAGGAAAAAGGATGTTTATAAAAAAGATTTCCATGACACAGAGAAAGCTGATGAGGATTCCCTTAAATTACAATAATTAGAATATTTTAAAAATCTCAAGAAAAACAAACATTGATTGGTTAATTTGACGTTCAAAAAGGGAAACTTCTGTTGTATGTGTTACTGCACCGTTGTCGTCTGTGTGCTCCTGAAGGCATCATCTGATTGAATGGTTTGTGTCTGACCTTAATATTACAAAGTTTAGATTATAATAACTGACCAGCAATTCTGCATCTGTGTGTATAAGATCTGACTTTTTAAACTTATCATTTAAATATGCAATGCAATATCCCATTTATTCCAAATTAAATATTGAAGCAAAGATAAACAAAACAATATTTGTATAGTTGCATGTTTTGTAAACTGACACTGAATTCTTCATTTAGAGTTTAAAGCATAAAATAAATATCGTATGGCTCAAACATCAATACATAACCTCCCATAGAGCAGCAGTAATACTGTACCTCATGGTACACGTTTAAAAAGCTTTCAGGAAAAACACAGAAAGTGAGGTCAGTCAAGGAGACAGCCATTATGACTTCCAGTTTCTATCTCTAAAACTATATAACATGTTGAATCTACAGAACGGTGGGTTTGTTAGTGAGGATGGAACATTTATTCTGTGTTTAATTTTCTCACTAAATATAGATCATATATGGTGAGTGATTTGTGGTCTTAACAGTTCCACAAAAGATGATGTTGCTATGGTGTGAATGGCTGTTTTATCCTTAAAAATAAATATTGTTTCAGTTGTTGTACAATATGACGGACACTAATATCCCTGAACCCTCCCGTAAACAATCAGCTTTACAGATCATAAACAGTTTGTTTTGGCCATAAGTATGTGGATATTAAAGCGGCTTTATTCTGCTCATTTTCAGGTTCATATTTGTATGTAGTGTCTCTACTGTGACATGTCTCCATGTTTCAATGTTCAAAAAACTCTTTATTGTTTCTCATACTGCCTGTGCTGCAGCACCTCTTTTCACCCTCTGTCTGAAACCAGAGCCCAGTCTGCTCCGATTGTTTTTTGTTGACCAACATGGCAAAATGGCTGGAGCCAGTGAGTTTGGGGAATTTGTCCAACAAAAAAAAACATTAGCATTAACCAAAATAAGAACTGAAAAAACCATCATTGCAGGGTAATTGACTAACTCTTTCAGCTATTCATTTAAGTAACGCTTAACCCAACTTGTGCTACGATTTGTATTTTGCCTAATAATAGCTGTCAAAGTTCTACAGATATTATATATATTAATCTGTAAATCAAACAACAGTAATATTTTAGAGGGACAAATTGGAGCCAACAATGAAAAACTGCCCCAGACCAGAAGTGCATACAAGCATGTCCGCATACTTTAGGCCATGTAATGTAACTCACAGGTTAGTCATAACAACCTAATATATAGTATATGACTTCATTTTTCAGTGATTAATATGGATAAGGTTACAGTAAAGAAGGCGAGGTGTGTGTGTGTGCATATATGATTCAGCTTAAAGCATTTTTGAATGTCACTGTAAAAAAAAAATATATATATATATATATTCACTGCTAATAAGGGGCACAGATGGTTAACTATATGCACAAAATGTCGCCTGGATGAAGCCACAAACTCTGCTCTTTATGTCGCTTCACATATCCGGTTGGGACATTTTTTCGACTGCATGCCGAAGAGAAGTTTTCCCACCAAACGTCACTGTGTAGCCCTTCACCATTCTCAATGGCCTGCCCATATTTGGTCTTCAGGTTTCTTCTCATGTATAAAAAATTAACGCACAAACAACAGAGTCCAGCAGGAAGTCAAAGTCAGTTTGATGTCGAAACTTCATTCAAATTCCAGTTTAGATCCGTAACAAATTATTTTTGGTATATAATGATAAAAGGAAAAGGAGGGAACAGAACAGTAGAGACTCAATAATGTTATTAATACAGCGGCTGTAACCTGATTGTGCTTTTCCCACCTCCTGAGGAAGCGTTGCGGGCAAAGACCATAAGTGATATAAATACTGTTGAATCTCTACAGTTGTGGCTCAATGACGTACACTGAGGAAAAGGACAAGGGGGGCGGGGGGGAAAATCACAAGAGCAGAAGCCAAAATGGCTGGTCAGTAGTCTAGGGAATAGAGAGAAGTGTGACTGGCTGAGTATTGCACATACTTTAAGTTCAAAAGTCTTTAACTCGTCCCTGCAGACGATGCTTCAGTTGATATTTCTAGACTTTAAGCAGCTGTCAGGGAAAGGTTGACAAAACCTAAAAAAAAGAAGCCTGCCCCCTTCTGTTGGGATCTACTGCATGTGTGAACTTTGAACGAACGGTTACATTAAATATTTACGGTAGAGGAGGTGTGGGTACCTGCCGCACAGCAGCCAAACTACCCAGACTCCGGGGTCCTGGAAACTGGGGATCGAGAAAGTAGTTCCCTCCCCTTGGGGTCAGTTTACCCCAGCACAAACACGCTGACACCTCAGTTTCATTTCACGCTGGTCAGAGCAGGTGTTGGTCCAGAGGAGGCCGGGCTAGCCCAGCTGTATCTGCCCCGAGTACATGGTGAGGAGGAGCATGATGGAGAAGCCCGTCAGCAGGCCGGCGTTCTGGATGGCAAAAATGACAAGGAAGCTGCTGCCGCCCGCATCCTCCTCCTCACGACTCACCTCGTTCATCTCTGGAAACTGAGAAGCAGAAAGAAACAGAGACATTTATAATTTTTTAAACCTCTCTGAACTTATTCTACTTTCTCCAATTCCAAATATGGGGGGAGTTCAAGTCCATCTTAAAAAGGACACGGAACAAGAAACCATTGGTCAATATGATTGCTCTTATATCCCCTAATTGAAGTCGTTTTAAAATTGTGCCAGTTTTTAATGTTTTATAACAGTTTATTTTATTTTGACTGGTTAATATGGCATTTCATTTGGGTTTTACGACAGCTGTATTCGTCTGCCTGTATTGTTTTGTGTTCATTTGTTGTAACATTTGTCATGCTACCCTCTTGGCTAGGTCACTCTTGAAAAAGAGATTTTAATCTCAATGAGACTTTAACCTGGTTAAATAAAGGATCTAAGAATAGCCTCTTCCTAATGTGTTTGGAGAACTTCTTTTTTTCTTAAAGAAGTCTGTATGTCTAATGAGAACCCTCATAATGGCACATCCTCCCTTACAATACTTGTATCTATGTTTTCCCAAGTCACTGACCATGTCTGCCAGAGCGATGTACAGGAACATTCCCCCCGCCAGGGCAAAGATCCAGTTGGGGGAGAAGCTGTTCCCGGCAAGGATGCCAAAGCCCATGCCCAGGTAACAGCAACAGGCCGACATGAAGTTGAAGAACAGAGCCTGCTGTATGCTCATGCCAGCGTTCAGCAGGATCACAAAGTCTCCTGGAAGAGGACAGAAAGATTACATCATGAAGAGAAGAAATGACATGTATTGGATTTGTAGACGCTCAGGGCAACAACATGCCAATAGGAAACATCGGCTGGCTTAAACAGAGTGCTGCAGGAATAAGTCCTACAACCTGGTAGTGAGTTAGCATTTTATTACATCTGGTTCCCTTGTCTCATAGTTGATGATTTTTTTAACTTGATTTTGATTTGATGCTTGAGATAAGGTGTGTGGTTAACACAAGCACAAGAGATGTTCATGTTTTGTTCTATGACATCAAATAAGACAGTACATACCAGAGGTGGGACCAAGTAATTGTTTTGCAAGTCACAAGTAAGTCTCAAGTCTTTGCGCTCAAGTCCAAGTCAAGTCTCAAGTCAGGATGGGCAAGTTCAAGTCAAGTCCTAAACTTTGACAAAACGAGTCTTAAACAAGTCCTTATGTGCTTTTCACCAAATGTAATGACATCGATCAACAGAATAATACTTAATAATCAAACTGCTCTTTATTAGTCACGTTAATAATTTAATAATCCATTTTCTCTCTGCTGGTAAAGTAACGTGTTTTCTTCTATTTGAAGAGGGATCAGTAAGGTAAGGCTACCGTGACGGTTTGATTCAGAAGGAGTTTAATGTATAAGATCCCTGATGTTGAGGTGACCAGAATGTTTATTTCCACTGTGTACAACATGTACAACACCTTCACTGTGTTTACTTTCATTAGAACAGCTAACGAGCGACCGCATGCTGCTATGTTTTAACCACACACACATTGAACTGCCCGATTTATCCCCCTATTACTCGTTTTATGAAGGAGATGTCCTGTCACTAAGGAGCATGATGTGTGTGTGTTTGTGCTCTGCTCAGCTCTGCTCTGTGTGTGTGTGTTCGGTGTGTCCGACAACGTCATTTGTTTTCAAATGACCATGAACAGTAATTTACACACATCTGGCCAACTCCATATATGTGGGTGTTCCCAAATGAAAGAAATGTGTTTAATCTTAATGTTGCACTGTCTGCACACAAACACATCATGCGCCCTGGTACATACACTATTCCGTTATATTGGCTTTGATAACAATATTTATTTGTGCGCAGACACAGTTAGGAAAACAATGAGACAGTGTCATATGGGAGCACCTTAGACAGGAGGAATGCTGGGACCCTGCTGAAGGGGAGCCAGGGCAGGAGGCTTAACATGTTGATGTCAAATATTTGTGTTGTACTCCTGTTTTCACTTTAGAGCCCTTTTAGAACTTGAAGGGTTATCCTTTCAGCACCCCACTCTCCAGTGCTGTTTATGTTGAAAATAAAACTAAACTTTTCATAACCACAATATTTGTAACTGATTTAAATGTGGAAACTGGGGTTATTCATCAGAATTTTGTATGACCTGAGCAATGACTTGACTTGCTTGACCCTCACCACAGTGACTTGGGACTTGCTTGAGACTTGTAGGTTAAGACTTGAGACTTGCTCATGACTTGCACATGTATGACTTACTCCCACCTCTGATAAATACCCTACTTGTGAACGAAGCTTCTATGTGTCATAAAAACCACAATTGCTAACAAATGGCTAAATGAGACTACAAAACGTCAAGGCGCGTTCACACCGCAGTACTTTTCCCACTTTAGTTCCGAAATGACGCGTTCACACCAAAAGGTGCCGGAACTAAAATGAGTTCATCAGAACCTTTTTTACCCCCTTTTCTGTCCCTGCTAGAGAGCAGGGACTTTCGTGGGAGAAAAAGGTTCCTATGTCTGATTGGCTGGGCGGAATACAAACCACGCCCGTAAAAGTCCCAAAAAGTTTTGTGAAGCCGCCATTTTATTATCCTCGCATTAGCATTATTAGCATTAGCCCAGCGCAGAAGCCCATGGGTGTACAAAGAGAACTGGATATAGCGTTGGAGGCGGGACCCTGTTCTTTCCTACGAAAGTTGCTCAGTGAATAAAAAATGTCCCGACTCTTGAGAGAAAAAGTATCCTTTTCTGGATCCATAGAGAATGAGCATTTTAGCGCATTTCAAAAACGTTTAGACCGTAATGATTTAAATAAGGGCTATAAAAGTGGTTTTGCTTGGTAGTTGATTTAGTTCAGAAAAAAAATCAGCTGATTTAGAGACGTCTCTCCCAATGTAAGTATTTTTGGGCCCATTGACGTCACAGACTGACACAGAAGTTCTAGTACCATCGTTTGGCCGCTAAAATAATTTGCTTCAACATGCGGCACACGTCCTAGGGGCTTGTTGTAGCCATGCAACCGTGATATAGCTCATTTTTACTCAAAAGCTAGCTTTTTACTTCTGGCTAATACAAATCACAATATGGCATAAATATCTGGAGATTATCCTGCTGAGCAAAATGTGTAAGTATGATAAACGTTGATTTTTCCGCAATATTCCAAAATCCAATGAAAAGATCCCACTGTGTCTCTTCGTGGGGTTGCTCACTTCTGGGTTTGGCCTACAAAAATACGTCACCAATGCAGTACTGTATAAAGTGCAGACTCACCGAGCTCGTGGGGGAACTCCTCACACAGGATGGCCACGGAGGTGCTGACGCCTTGAAAGACGGAGGAAGTGAAGGAGGCGCCGATGGCCAAGCCGTCGATGAAGTTGTGCAGGCCGTCGCTCAATGTGATCATCCAGGCCAGCGTGCCGATGTCGGAGTAGGCGACCCCCTTCAGCCAATAGCAGCCCCTGCCACTGCGGGACCGACCCCCACTTTCTGGGCTCTGGGAGTCCTGGGATGAACAGAGTGACAGACACCCATCAGATGAAAAAAAAAATGTATGAACTCACTCTGAGCAAATAAATTCGGTGAAAGAAAACACTTTCTGCCCCCCCCCCAGCCTAACCTGTGGTGTCTGTGCGGGGCTGAGCATGAGCTCCCCCTCCCCTGCGTCCACTTTGCCCAGGGCCAGACTGCTGGCCTCTCCGTTCTGCTGCAGCTTCTCCTTCTCGCCCTCCACATCTCCGTCAGGGGTCGAGTAATGATCTGCACTCGGGTAATGACTGTGACCGTGGCCCTGGCCCTGGCCCTGGTCCTGACCCTGCGATACAGAGAGACAACAGATATCAGGAACAATTCATGAAGTATTATTCATAAGTAATATATATAATAGATATTGGTGTATCTATTATCTAGTATTTTTTATTATATATTTTTTATAATTTTTCTAGTTCTCTTTTTGTGTTTTTAATTCTTGTTTTTATGCACCACGACACCTAGTCAAATTCCTCGTACGTGTAAACCTACCTGGTAATAAACCTTTTTCTGATTCTGGTTTCTATTGCTTGTGGATCTATTCTTCATGACAAAAAAAATGACTTTAAATCTTTTAAATTAAGAGAAAAAACAGAGGAGAATTTACATTAAGTTATTTTGAAAGGAATCACAAACATAGCGTTCCTTCTGCGTTCTGTGTTACCACTTCCACTCGATTGTTTTGGTTGCCTCCCTCAGGAATACATAACAGCCATGCAAATGCAAGCAGCCAAAACTTTATTTATACAGCACACATTCCATTTCAGGTACTTCTCACAGAGTGAGCAACCATGGAAGTGGCAGACATTAACACAATATAAATAGCATAAAGCAAAGCACTTTTAGCTGTTCGTGTTGAAAGCCCAATACAATTGGTTTCCAATCAAAAACTTCATTCATTTATTTTAAATTATTGTTTTTCATTAAACTTGCATCCTTGGATAAAAAAATGACAAAAAAGCTCTTTATTTTCCTCATTCTCCCTGTGCTGCAGGACCTCTTTTCACCCTCTGTCTGAAACCAGAGCCCTGTCTGCTCTGATTGGTTAACTGGCCCGCTCTGTTGTGATTGGTCAACCGCTTAGACATGTCCCTCCCCTTAGCCTAACACCTACAATGTGTTGGAGCGCTAGCCACTAGAAGTGGCAGTGTTACATAGTGATGTAACAAGGTTGCGTGTTTCAGGCAAGGGAGTAGTGTGACAGATCTTTGGAGGGGACTTTGGGATTTTAGCCTTTGCAGAACATTAACATGCACAAAAACCTATATAACACACTACAGGAGAGGGAAAACCCCAACACGCATAATAGGGCCTCAAAAAGGTCATATTCCGCATGATGGCTTGAGATTCTGACTAATTCTCACAACACTCTGTTGTGATCAAATCATTTTACAATAATCACATGTTCATTATTTGTTCATCTTATTGAAGTTTGCAGGGACAGTGACTCTAAACCTGGCTCACATCTATCACAAAGTCGAAGCAGGTAAAGTCAAATTCAGTGTTTTGCTCTGTAACACTTCTCCAGAATTGTTAAAGGGTTTCTTTTTTGCAGTGAAAGGAAAAAGCTGACCGCAGTACTTGCAGGCGCCAATATGGGTCAAAGAGCGTGTGTAATAGGATCAGCACGTAAACGTGTTAGTTGTTCATTAGGTTGGCTGGACCATATGGCTGAGAGCCGAGTAACCACAAGGTGGAGCAACTTTCCCAGAATCACCACCCATTCACCGCTGCTTTTTGTGAATGAAATCATTCAAGTTTAAGAATCCTATTTTGGGGGAGATGTGTTCTGTAACTTCACAAATGTGACTAGATTTGCATACCAGTTCTCAGAAAACTGTATAAACAATTGCAACATAAATGATCACTGCACTCCATAGTGACATCACCATGTAACAATTGTGCTTCTATTGGCTAGCCTATCATATTCAACACATTGAAGCTCTAAGCTGTTAACTAATCACAACAGAGCCATCCAGCTAACCAATCAGAACAGACTGGGCTCTGGTTTCAGACAGAGGGTGAAAAGAGGTACATTCTTGTTTCTTTGCTGAAATATGCACAGCAGAAGGGAAAGAGTTACACTTTGTGACATCAGTTCGTAAAACCTTCACCCAGTTGATAAATGATTCCTCTGAGTCGCATGTCTTTTTCATTGCGGCAAACAAGAATTTTCCGTTGACTTTTTAAGCATAAACAGCTGAACATTCCTTTCTGAAGGACACGTCAGAATATAGTGGGGAGCCAGCTTACATAATGTTAAGATACACTTCCTTATAGTGAACTACTGTACTCTGAAATCAACTCATCATTGCCTCTTGCCCTAACATCCTGTTCAACTGGTTAAACCCGACACTGATGAACAGATAATACAAGCAACCATTTAAATATGTGTTATGAACAAATAACAATCTGATCTGTTGAACTTCTAGACAACAACGGATTGGTGTAGAGAAGATCAACACGTCAAATAAATACAATTAATGACCAATTATGGATTTAAAAACCTCACATTCTACTCCACTATAATTTAGTCTGCAACGTTATCTCTCAGTAGGATTCAAATATCTTTAGTAAGATTATATATATATTTTTTATTATTCAATTATTTTTGTAAGATCCAATTATTATTCAATAATAATGATTTTTTTGTAAAATTCATAAAAAAGTATCTTATTCACAATTTATTATGGAAACATCATAGGACTTCAGTATTAGAATTGTTCAATATTGAGCAAAATAATATTAGTTTTTTTTCTACAGAATTCAGAAATGTCACAGAAATATTGTTCCAAGCAAATTGTGGTTCAAATCTAGAAAAAAAAAAATATTGAAGCATTTTTTTACCGTATGGCATGTTGACTGAAAAACTGAAGGACGGTGCAATACACATCAATTTAACATTCTTGCACTGATGTGTACAGTCGCCATATTTTTAAGCTAAACTGGTTTTGGTCAAATGTTCGTTGTACCCTAGACAGTTTTTTCATCCAATTTTTAAAAGTCTTGTTTGGCAGAAGGTTTTTTGATCCGTGAGTTGACGGTGCACTTTTTCTTTATTAAGGGAAACCAATGACAGAAAAGGGAACAGAGCACGGTAGGTTCTCTTTTGACTGTTAGTCCTGGTTTCCACATTTTTTTTGTGTGTGTCTTGACCTTGGATACAAGCTGTTTAAAGCTGCCATAAATACCAGCTCTGTGAGGCTGGCAGAGGATCCTTTTGTTGAGACTGTAACAGAGATGTTGATTCAGTGTTACTCTTGTTTATCTTTCTTCGGCCCATCTATACTCGTCAACTCCGGACTTACAACTCACCAAGGCTTACACTGCACCAAGTTCATTTAAAGAAAAACACATTTAACCGATCCATACCTTATACGTGATAGTCTGAACATCTCTAAGCGGTTTACCAATCACAACAGACTGGGCTCTGGTTTCAGACAGAGGGTGAAAAGAGGTGCTGCAGCACAGGCAGTATGAGAAAAATAAAGAGCTTTTTGAACATTAAAGCAAGGAGACATGTCCCAGTAGAGACACACAATACAAATATGAACCTGAAAATTAGCATAATAGGGACCCTTATAGTGTAATGAAATGAATATCAACAATATATGGATAGACTGGAGCCAATACTTAGATTTAAAGTTCCAATGAAACAACTAGAAGTGTTTCTGACTTAGCATGTATTGGGATGTACTGATTGGCGTTTACAGTAGTCGATAACACTGAATGTGTGTATTCAAAATGGATTTAATGGGAACTAAAAACAAAATGCCATAAAACAGATGAATTAATTAACCTTTTAAATATGTGACTTGCAGAATTGGTCATTTTAAAGATAAATGAAGGTGATTATTGCTCAGATTCAGTTTGGTTTTGAGAGTAACTTGTTCATCACATCATTCTTGCCGTTTGTGTACTCACCCCATTTTTCTGTTTGAGGAGCACTCTGAGGACCTTTTCAGTGAAGAAGAAGAGGTAAAAGCCAGCGAAGACCACGGCTGATTTGGACACGTAGTTATCCACCATGGGGTTAAAACCAAAGGCCTAGCATTGCAGGAAAGAAGATGATATCAGTTTCTGATGGTTATTTACAGTAGCTGTTATATAATTACTGCCTGGCATCACCAGATGTGTATATTTTTAAAATGAGGTGTTGCTTGAAACAATTGTCAAATGTAATTTGGCAGGATTTTTCAGTTGAACAATTAGCGGTTAGTGAATGTTTGAATTCTAAGAGGCTGTTGTCAAATGTAATTTAAGCTGTGTATTAAGCCGTCATATCAGACAGAAACCTCCTCTTTTGTCTGTGAAATGATGCAATACATTTCACAACAGCTGTAAACTTGGCCATGGTGGGTGGGCTCACTGTCTAGATTTAAAGCCATAACACACGCTTTCCCATACTTGTGGGTTATACCACTCTTTAAGTAAGGCTTGAGTTTGAACCCAAGCTTCCCTCGTTAACCCAACTGATCAAATTCAATGTAACGAGAAAACAATAATTGATGAATTAGGGTAATTATTATATTAT